GACAAACTGTGACTTTTTTGACATGGAAATTATTTTTTAAGATTGACAAACATCATATGTGTAATTCGTGGCACAATTCAAACGGGATCGAAAGATAATCTTTCTCTCCCCATTGACTTCAATACATACTTTTTCCGAAATAAGATCCCATGGAGGTCCCCCGGAAAGGGAGGGACTTCGCCTCTCTATACTATAGTCTTTGATGAACTCTAAGCTCCTTACCCTGAACATCACAAATTAATCCCTAAACTCAACTATTACCCTTTTACCTACATTTTGCTTTCAAGGAATCACTTTTCATTAGAAGTGTTTTATATTTTAATATTTTGTTGCCATAATGGTAATGCCTGTGCTCTCAAAATACCTTTTAATTGTCCTCTTATTAATATCTTGTTTCAGGTTATTTTACGCCTATCAACAACTACGAATATTTCCTAAATAAAGCACCAAGAAACTCATCTCACCGCTGATGTACACAGAGATCTGAGCAGAGACCCGATGCTTGATGTCCTCCTGAGAGACCACACAGAGGTAGAGGTCTCTCCTGGTCACATTAGTGTAGAGAGAGATGAAGACGTGGTATTCCTCTGGGACTCGTTCCTCCTCAGCATCGAGTCTGTTTCCATCTGTGCTCTGCCACTCTGCTTTAGTGTTTAGAGAAGCACCAGGAACCTCACACTGCAGAAGGGACCAGTGAGAATTGTGACGGACGGCTTTGGAGTTGCAGCTGTGAACAGGTATAACATCTCAAATCGTGTAACATGATTTTGCGTTGATCCATAATTTTAATTGGGTTTAAAAATGAATCTTTGTTGGTGTAAGTCAGCGTTTCTCAAAGTGTGGGGCCCGCCCCACTGGTGGGGCGCAGAGATGTGAGAAGTGGGTCGCGAATGGACGCGATGAACGGGAGATTATTTTTTAATAAACTTTTTGGACCTCAGGCCCGAATCGAACCAGGGTCCTCGCAGGCGGTCGTGGACTGTTTACAGCCGGAGACTCGCTACGGCGGCGGAGGGGAACAGGGTGAGGCTCTGTTCGGACAGATAGGAAGATTGACTGCATCCTATCAGCCGCTGCTTCCAAAACGTGCCCAGCTCTCTGGTGTTTGCGGTGACGGAAGCGTTACGGGCGCAGCTGCGCTGTGAAAGTCCACGGCCCAACGAAGGCAGCAGCCCACCAATGGCACCAAAGTCCCGAATCTCCCGATGGCCAATCCGAGCCTGCTCACACACACACAACTGAAACCATTGGGCAGAGAGCTGTGCACATTCTTCTTCCCTTCGCCACATCATATCTCTGTGAAATGGGCTTTTCAGCTGTTGCAACACTGAAAACCAAATACAGATCTAGGCTCAACATTGAGCACGACTTGAGAGTGGCATTATCAAGCCTGCAACCGCGTTTTGAAAATATGTGTGGTGCAAAACAGGCTCATTGCAGTCACTAATAATCCAGTGATGAGACTCATGCATTCAATTGGTCATTTGCATTGCTGAATGTATTTCCTGAATGTATTTATTTGTTATTGATTTTCTCTATTTTGAACTGATGTTATTTGTTATTGATGTTATTTGTTATTATTGACTGATGTTATTTGTTATTGATGTTATTTGTTATTATTGACTGATGTTATTTGTTATAAGATGTTATTTGTGATTATTGACTGATGTTATTTGTTATTGATTTTATTTGTTATTATTGACTGATGTTATTTGTTATAAGATGTAGAACTTTTAAATACATTTGACAATTTTAAGCTTGGCCTACCATTGATAACACAATTGCATAGTACTGTAGGCCCTTTTTCTATATGTTTGGAACTCAGCCCATTTGAGGCAAGGATTGACACCATTGCACTTTTATTTTCTCTATTTCTGAACTGTTTTTTGTTATCTTTGTTTTTGAACTGATGTTATTTGTTATAGAACGATACATTTGACAATTTTAAGCTTGGTCTACCATTTTATTGGAGCGATGAGGGACAGGTGGGGAATGACAGAAACAGTTTGAGAACCACTGGTGTAAGTCATTCTTTAATTATTTATATCACACCTTTCAAGACAAGGCAATTCAAAAATGTGCTATTCTTGGACCCCATCTGTAGTCACTTAAGTCAACAATAAAAAGGCCTTTCAGTATTTCTACCTTCACGTTAAGCTATAGTGACTTTTAACTACTTTGTCAAGACATGAGCGTCCTCCTGCCTTTGGTTAGTTTAGTTCACCGGCACAACCTCTAAAAAAGACTGATTCACGAAGGGGACTTTACCCTTAAAGACAGATCAGGAGAAATCAGTGGCCAGCCTTCATTGAGGATGTCACTGATTTCTACAGCTGCAGTGATTGCTATAACTCTGTCACCAATATTATTAAAATTCATAGATTTAGACACAATACCTTCACTTAAAAACACTGTCCTTAGAACATACCTGCTGCAATGTGAGGATAATAACCAACATGGTGGCGGCGCATGTATATGCTGCGGCTTTTGGACTCGCCAGTTTTGGCAAATTAGTTATTATTTGCACACTGATCTTTAGTCTGTTCGTCCAGAACATCTGTATTAACCCACTGTACAGCAGACCTTCTGGACATTGGGTTACATGTCGGATCACTGGATATCCCTATGGGCGCTCCCGGCGATATCGTCAGTCTAGCAACGGGTTCGTTTACATTGCCTCCCCAGACAAGGAGGCTCCGTTGACGGCGAAGAGATCGCAGGCAAAAGCGAGGCTGTAGAGGAGGCGTTCGATAGAAGCTAACCCAGGCTCCGCACCGCGCCTCTCTCCTTTTTTCTTAACCCTGTGTGATTAAAAGAATAAACACAAATAGCAGGATAGGCACACATATTTGCAATATCTTGCCCCACTGAAAAGGCACTGCACTGATATTGTTAAAATATTGACATAGTTCATCCCTGTGCTGCTTGGCTCGAGCTGTAGCTATTTGTTGTTTGTATATATCACGCAGTCTGTCTTCCGGTTGTTGCCTCTTTTGAATGACGAATACACACTACCGCCTCCTGCTGGTAAGGAGAGTTATACCTAGTTAGACTCTTTACGGCACCTTTTCACACACACACAACCGCTGGAAAAAGCTGCAGTACATATGCCGAGCCTGTACGTGGCGCTGTAACTTCCTCCACAAAAGCAGCAACTTCCTCCACAAAAGCAGCGAAGAAGAATGGTTGTCATGGCTGCACTTCTGTTTATTCTCCGCGGTGGGGGCCGAGGGATCCGGGCAGAGTTTTTCGCCGGTCAGCGTGTGTTAAAGTTTAAATCTTCCGGACAAAATTATAAAAGTGCCAGTCAAAGGTCTTCTTTGTTATTTATTGAGCTTTAAAACAAATGAATAACGACGATATAATGATATATAATAATAAAATACACGGAGCCTGTCTCTTTTTCCTCTCTTCTGACAGCGTCAGTGTCTGTCTCATGCAGCAGCTGATCCAGTAATGATGACTCGACAGTAAAAATAAACATATTTATAACTAGTTTAGGTAGTTTGAGAGGTAATTAAAATAGCTAAGGGTGATGATCTGACTTGAAGTGTGTGTTTTGCTCCAGCTGCATCACAGCGGCAGGAGCTGCGTGTCTCCGTCCTGTCAGATTAGACTTCACTCGCGTTTATGTCCATATCGAGATAAAGATAAATAATCTGAATTCAGTGTGCAGTGTACTTTTGCGGGGGTGAGCAGCAGAGGCGGGGAGAGGCGGGGCTATTGCGTCGTCATTATCAGAAAATGATGACCGTATAGGCTACCACACGGCCCCGTTGGACCCCCCAGAGCGCTCCGTTCCCAGATCTATCCACCTTTGGACCCGTTGTCGTTTGCAGGGTCCGTTTCAACCGTTCCGTTACGGCGTCGTCTAGCTTAAAGGGCTATACGCAAGAGAAATATGCGGATACAACCCGTTTTCGTTCCCGTGGGGCCTGGGCCTTAATTGATAAGGCAGCACTCAATTCAAATATTTCCAACATTACAGTTACTGTAATGTTGGAAATATCCTTTATTATTTATTAGTTTTTGTTTGTGCTTGTCTAATATGCATGTGGATTCAATAACAACAAAGTTAGAATAAATAAATATACAGCAGGTTACCATATGTTCAGGTCAATATCCTGGATATGTAGGCTACTTTTCAAGGTGTTGACGAACGTACTCACCGACAGCAAGATTAAAGTAGAATGTTTGAGATGGTTTAAGACGTGGAAATCCACAGGTGTAGTTTCCAGTGTCTGCAGCCGTCGTCTTTCTGATGACTCAGGATTACAGGATTTAGTAAATGTCTTATTTACACCCAACATCACAGCTGCTTTTCCTACTGTCTGCTCACTTTTATTTTACTGTAAACACTGTCTAACCAACCCAGCGTTTGCTCTACATCTGACTGATGGAGTAAAAACTCTCTGTATATTCTCACACAGTGTATGAGCAAACACAACATAAACACACTCCTCTACAAAACATGTGAGAATATAGTCAACAGAAAAGTCACTTTAGGCAACTGTTAACGTTCTGCAAACTCCTGTTTGTGATGTTTCCTTGTTGTGTTAAAGTAAATAGAAATGTTTCGCAAAAATAACTACCAATATTGTCTAAAATATTATATTAAAATACATTTATCGATAACCATTCATACATACTGATTTTATCATGCAGTATTACGTAAATTAGCCGCTGACGTCACCTCGTCTTCTTCTGCTTTGGGTTTACTGGCAGGCCGCAAACAACTTCACGGCGTATAGGCCTACTGCAACCCGAAGTCCCCGGCCGGAAGTCCCCGGAGTTGGGGACTGGCTTCAGTAGAAGCTGCTGGGACTCCTAGCAGCTTCTACTGAAGCCTTCCGAGTAAATCGTCAGAACGCCGACATCTCCTCATCACTCCACCGCTCCCATGTTTTTTTTTGTGTTGCCATAAGTTATTCTCTCTCCGTTGGTGCACGGGGCTAATGCTAATAATGCTACTGCCAGCAAATACAATGGCCGCTTCAAAAATGTGTTCAGAGTTTCACGGGGTGTGGTTTGCTATTCACCCAGCCAATCAGAAATGTGGTACTTTTTTCTCCCCAGGATAGTACCACCTCTCAGCAGGTGCTAAAAATGGGGGAAAAAGTTCCCGGCACTCAGTACTCTTTTTGGTGTGAACGCGACATAAGGGGTGCTAACGGAACTAAACGGGAAAAGTACGTTTTTTTTTTTTTTTTTTTTTTTTTTTTTTTAATGTGGGAAGAGGGTGGGCGGCCGCCACTGGCTACAGGTAATACCTTCTGAACCAGCTCCTTAAAAATGTTAAAGCTGCAGAGTGGACATTGCTCTAGACCAGGGGTTCCCAACCTTTATTGTGCCAAGGACCGGCAGATACATAAAAAAAATATCGGGGACCGGTTGTCAATTTTAACTGATTTTAATATTTACTCACCAGCAGCAGGTAGCAACAGAGGCTAATTGTATGTGACAGCCTGAACAAATACTAGAATAATATGCATCCAAAACATATTAACAAAGTTTAAAAAAGAACCGGTGTCGTTTTTGGGTTTTTCGGAAAACCAAAAAAACCGACGTTATTCAGTTTTTAAACCAAAACGGGAAAACAGATAAATCAACGTTTTGGTTTTGTTTGTATGATTTACGGATAATCCAGTGAATGCTGGGAAAACGAGGAGAAGGCGCATTATGAAGGGTGTGTGTGTGTGTTGTGTGTGTGTGTGTGTGTGTGTGTGTGTGTGTGTGTGTGTGTGTGTGTGTGTGTGTGTGTGTGTGTGTGTGTGTGTGTGTGTGTGTGTGTGTGTGTGTGTGTGTGTGTGTGTGTGTGTGACACCGGCATTTGTTTTCAGAAGATATTATGATAGTGTCGTTCGTTCCGGTGCACTCCGACAGCATTTAGCACTACATTGAGATTAAGATTAAACTAATTTATTTTGGGAACAGCCGCATATATGGAGTTAGCCATATGTGTGTAAATTACTGTTCATAAACATTTGAAAACAAATGCCGGTGTTGGACAGACACAAACACACCGAACACACAGAGCTGAGCTGAGCAGAGCACATACACACACACATCATGCGCCTTGGTGACTGACTGGACATCTCCTTCATAAAACTAATAAAAGGGGGAGTAATCGGGCAGTTCGATGTGTGGAGAGATGTGTGTAGAGGTGTGTGTGGTTAACACGTAGCAGCCTGCAGTCACTCTTAGGCGCCGTTTACACGAGGAGAAAACTGCTTGTATCTGCATAGTTTCGCGTGCGTATAGCCCTATTATTTATACGAGGCCGATAGAAACTGACCCCACAAACGATAACGGGTCCCAAGGTGGATAGATTTGCAAACGAAACGCTCTGGGGGGTCAACCGAGTCCGTGTAATCACCTCGATACGAATATTTCCTGAAAAAATAACGATAGCCCCGCCTCTCCCCACCTCTCCTGCTCACTGCTGTAGCAACTATCAAAAATAGCTGTGTTAATTAAACGCACAAGGGGTTCTTGAATGAAATAATATTATAAAAGGCAAACCAGAATTGTTAACGCCCAATATACTCCTTAAACAAAATAAACAGAGTCAGATTTCATGCATTGATCCATTATATTGACAAAGGAGGATCTCACCCGGTGTTTGTAGAGAATATCTCTCTTTCTGAGCCGTCCTCTCCACGGAGACGTGCTTCTTGGTCGGGATGCAATATCAACAGATTCGGTTTCTTTCAGTTTCTTTCAGTTTCAGTTTCAGTTTCGGGGCTTAAACAGAAGGGTAGCCATGGCAACATTGCAGCGGGGCTGCTCGGTTGCTCTTCTTCGCGGCTTTTGGTGTATTTTGGCGGAAGTTACAGCGCCACTTACAGTCCCAGCATATGTACTACAGCGTTTCCAGCGGCCTCGTTTGAACAGACACGTTAAATGAAACAAATGCATGTGAACGGAAGACTTTTTTGAATACGCATACTGTGCATAAACGCAAACGGTCCCGTGTGAGCGGGGCCTTAAGCTGTTCTGATGAAGTTAAACACAGCGAATGCGGTGCGTAACAAGGCACAGCTCTTTACGCGCTGGTGCTGCACTTCTCAGAGGCGGAGTATACTTCCCGCTGCCTCCTGATGCTGCAGCCATTTCATGAATTGAAGGAGGTTTTCCTTCTATAAAACAGCTGCGGGCAGCAGATACCGTGAGAGTCCCGGACATTAATTCATAGATCAAGGCAGACTGGTTTACTCTCCTGTTTTGGGGTGTAGCTCCCTCTACACCCCTGGCCGACATGTCCAGACTTAAAATGAAGTCCGAGTTTGAAATATATCTCAAATAATGTATGCACCACCATTTCCCCACATAAACATAACAGTCTGCAATCAAACGGTTGTCTCCTGTGCGCTCCTCTTCCTACTTGGCGCACCGGTAACATGCTCGTGCGCACAAGAGGCTGAGACCTTAGGCTGAGCCGCCGAATCCCTCGGAACATCATAAAAGCCATTTTCAACGGTTTTCTGGTGAAAGATGAACTAGCTACTGGATGAAATAATATGACTGGTGGCATAGGTGTGAAAATTAAACACTTTTTGAAAAAGATATTATGATAAAATATTTTTATATATTTATAATTCTGCAAATATTACGATAAACTCACAGCTATTTCGCGGCCCGGCAGTAACACCTCCGCGGACCGGGGGTTGGGAACCCCTGCTCTAGACAACGCTGGCTTCGAGCTAGTCACTGACTTGGTCTTAGCCGATTCCCTGGTTTCCTCTGGCCTTGCCCATGAGGTCCATTTCCACGGCAAATCCATTCCTTGGTTCGTCTCTGATGTCACAGCTCACGATTTTCAGTGGACCATCCAGCAGACCATGGCGGCCAATCACAAGTGTATGTCAAAGATTGGATACCAGTGGAAGAGCCACCTGAAGGACGGCGTGTGGTCCTATCACGATCATCCCTTCTGGACACAGCCCCATGAGTTCTGTGACATGGCCGCTGATGCACCCGACCTGTATGCTAACCTGCAGGGGGCAGACCTGGTGCTGTTTAAAGGGGATCTCAACTACAGGAAGCTGGTGGGGGACAGAGACTGGGATCACACAGTGGGCTTTGGTACTGCATTACAAGGTTTTGGGCCTGCGCCGCTGTGTAGCCTGAGGACTCTCAAGGCCAACGTACAGGTCGGTCTGCAGCCTGGCCAAGCGGAGAAGCTCACCTCCCATGAACCAGACTGGATGACCTGCGGCAAATACGCTGTCATTCAGTTCTACAGCTCAAAGGCGGAACAGAAAGACTGAGCTCAGGACCTCCCTGCGCACACGTGGATTCATAAGAACATTACAATAAGAAGTACCTTGAGGAGTTATCTTCAAGCCATAAGACCATTGAGTCATTGAGGTTGTAAAAGGGTGTTTTGTTTTTCTTTTCGAAAGTTAATACTTCATCGTGTTAGATGCGCACATGCACAGTAACAGAAATGTCCTTAGTTTTTATTTTCATAACATATTTGTACCATGTCATACTTGCAATGTTAGCACTTAAGTCATGATGTTTACAGGTTAATGTAGATGCTATTAACAATTCATTATAACATTTTAAATTGATTGATAATACATCTCCTTTCAGTGATGATTAAAGTAATATTTAGTTTGATTTTAATTCAGCTTGGCTCAGGTTGTTTAACTGTTGCACGCACTCTCGTTGATTTGCATGCATAAAACAGGGATGCAAACTTGTCACCTTTCGGCGAAATTCGCCGTTTTGGGACCCGGAGTAATCTGCGGCCGCGAGCTATTATGTGCCATCATGATGCGCAGCAGCTACATTACCTACGGGTGGGTTCGTTAATAGTAACTGTGCGGTCCGGAGTCACTGTGGCACAGACTGGACCGCTGGTGAACAGCTGTTAGAACGGGCTGTTCGGGTGTTCAGAGCAGAGCTCCCTGTCGGAGCGGCAGAGCGTGATGTGCACTGAAAAGTGTTTCTGTCGCAATATTATTTAAGGAATCGTTGAGCTAGCTAACTAGCATAGATTGTCACTATCTGCTAACGTTAGCTTTAGCCTTCGTTTTCAAATAGTTTTTTTCATAGGCTATAAACAGAGGTGGTATAAGTATCTTGTACTTGAGTAAAAGTAGAAGTACTCAGATCTTGTACTTGAGTAAAAGTACTCAGGTTTTGTACTTTAGTAAAAGTAGAATTGCTCAGATCTTGTACTTGAGTAAAAGTAAAAGTACTCAGATCTTGTACTTGAGTAAAAGTAGAAGTACTCAGATATTGTACTAGAGTAAAAGTAGAAGTACTCAGATCTTGTTCTTGAGTAAAAGTAGAAGTACTCAGATCTTGTACGAGAGTAAAAGTAGAAGTACTCAGATCTTGTACTTGAGTAAAAGTAGAAGTACTCAGATATTGTACTTGAGTAAAAGTAGAAGTACCAGAGTGTAGGAATACTCTGTTACAGTAAAAGTCCTGCATTCAAAATGTTCAGTAAAAGTATAAAAGTATTCTCATCAAAATATAGTGAAAGTAGCGACAGTAAAAGTAGTCATCGTGCAGATTGGTCCATTTCAGAATAATATATATGATATGTTTTATAATGATTGATCATGAAAGTGTTCTCAAAGCTGGTAAAGGAGCAGCTAGTTTGAATGACTTTGTATACTGCAGAGTAGCTTGTGGATTTACTCCAGGTGGAACTAAAGTCTGATTTAACACTTGGTTATATTTCACATCATTCATCCACATCTGTAAAGTAACTAAAGGTACTAAATACATGTAGTGGAGGAAAAGTACACCATTTACCTCTGAACTGTAGTGGAGAAGAAGAACAAAGTAGCAAAACATTGAAATACTTAAATAAAGTACAAGTATCTCAAAATTGTACCCAAGTATAGTACTTGAGTTTATGAACTTAGTTACTTTACACCAGTGGCTATAAAGACAGAAAGACTAAGCCTTGCACAGAGGCATGAAAATACATTTTCAAAATGCTCAACAGTGCTGCCAAAATTATAAACTGACTGCTCCACAATTCAAATAAATGCTTTTATATATTTCTATAGATGTGACTCTTTGGCGTTTCTGTTATTATTAACACTGCTGCTTTAGTTGTTCTGACTGCTAAAATCCTCTGTTATTCCTCATTTTAAAGCCGATATTCCGTGGGGTCGGGGGGCTCGGGCCTCGGATCCTTGTCACCTTTTTCATACCTGATGAGTTTGCATCCCTGATAAAAACTTGCAGCCATTTTATATTCAACTAAACCAGGTTCTCGCATAACTTTATGACTCATTTAATTATAAAGATGTTAGAGTGTTATTTTTGCAGAATAACAATAATAGTAAGCATGTGTACTTGTTTAGTTTAAAATGGCAACCAATATTTCTGTATAAAATGGATTAAAATTGATGTCTCTGTGCACACTGTTATGTCATCTAAATGATCTTTGTCGGGGTGTCAGTACCTCAGAGGTCATGTTACCTGGATTCTTCTCAATACTGCTGGGGTAAATGCAATCGGTTTCTCTAATGGGTTTGATTTAATAAAGGTAATTGACTGACTGATATTTTCCCCAATGTCATACTTTACAGGCTGAGGGACACAAAATGTGGGAAATAATGACGCTATCAGAATAATCTGGAAGGAGATTGGGAGGAGTCTTTTTTAATTCCTTTTTTTTAGTTTTTTAGCTCAAGACGAATAGGGCAAAGGGACTGGAAGAAGTGGACTCTTCAAGTTGCTTGTTGGCTTTATTAGAAGGAAAAGAGAGACAGAGAGAGGGAGAGAGAGAGAGAGAGAGAGAGAGAGAGAGAGAGAGAGAGAGAGAGAGAGAGAGAGAGAGAGGGCAGCACTCGTCTCCACTCCCCCTCCCAGCAAAGGGGAGAGCAAGTCTAAATCATGTTGCATATCAGTGCTGTTGTGCTGTGATGTCGCTCAGGCAGAGCCCGGTGCAGAGCAGGCACCCGTGTGGACCAGCACTCAGACCCAGGATCAACCCAGCCTTCTCAGAGCTGGAGACCCTCTCCCCGCAGCGACCCTCGCCTCCACCACGGGCCCACTTCAGTGACATGTACCCTGAAGAGAGCCGGGGGTCTGGAGCCACTGTGGACTTCCTTGAAGGGACCTACGACTATGCGGCCCCCACCCCTGCCCCGACCCCTCTCCACAGCCACTCCACGGCGGGCTTCTACTCTCCTCCTCTGGATGCCCACGGACAGCCCTCGGATGGCAGCCTTCAGTCCCTGGGGAGTGGGCCAGCTTGTCCTCTAGTGTTCGTGCCCTGCAGCCCCCGACTCAGCCCCTTTATGCCCCCCCCCAGCCATCACTATTTGGAAACCACCTCAACTCCTGTGTACAGGTGAGGGAATTCAAGTTTTCTTTATAACCATATTGGAGAAAAAAAAGGGTAATGTTGTGCACTTGGAAAAAGTTATATTTATAGACTCTGAAGCAACAGGTATGAATCACTGCTGTTTTTTTTTTTGTATCATTAGGTGAAGTTCGTTTATTTTTGGCGACAACCTCTTAAGTTTTCATTAGTGGGTTTATTCAATCCAACCAATTAATGAAAACTAAAAAAGAGAAGTGCAAAACTTCATTACGACACATTTTCCGGCAGTGGCTCAGTCAGTAGGGGCTTGGACTGCGAGCCGTAGGGTCGCTGGTTCAAGTCCCGGAACAGACCTAAATATGGAGTGTGGACTGCTACTTGGAGAGGTCCCAGTTCACCTCCTGGGCCCTGCCGTGGTGCCCTTGAGCAAGGCACCAGACACCCCCCTTCCCCCCCCCCCCCCCACTCCCATTGCTCCCCGGGCGCTGTACAATAGCTGCCCACTGCTCCTAGTACTAGACTCCTGGTACTAGGACGGGTTAAATGCAGAGAACACATGTCACTGTGTGTGCTGTGTGCTCTGCATGTGTGACCATTACAGAGGGGTTCATCCCTCCCTATCTTCTATTTTCTCTAAATTCTAATTTTGTTGACCTTTTTTTTTTATCAATTAATTTTCTTTCTTATTTTACAGTATTTTATCTACTGACTTGGTTGTCTCCTATTAAGTGGTTGTATGGTATTTTGCCACATAACTAGCTTTACTATCTTTCACTCACATATGATGGCATTGGCATTCTGTGCAGTCCTCACAGTTGTAAACAAAACCAAATTATATAACTGCATTTTTTTTACATTTAGCTTTATACAAAACATTTCCCCTATCTCCATAGAAAGGATCAAGCTTTGTCCTGGTTTATAATTCCAGAGATTAAGGACTTGAAAACAGAACAATACGTAATAACAACATAAGTGCACATACAGATTGCTTCCTGCCTCAGGTAGAAAATAGTACTAACTTTTTTTATGCTATAAGCCAGTTCAAGTTGGTATCGTAAAAGTGGAAGGATTGAAAGTAAGTCGTTGCCAGCCAATTATTTTATGATTAAAGACATTTGTTAGAGAATTTTTTGACTAAATGTTAAGGAATGGTAAGAAATACATTTGATATTTTATTCAACCTCCATCTGAGTTTGTTGTCATTAGCTTTTATTAAATCACTTACAAAGTTAAACATTTGAAATCATTCAACTGAGCTGAAATCCTGTGGCAGGTCCAGTCTGCAGTCAGTTTCCAGAGAGGACCTGTGCGGCACCAGCGACAAGTCGTTCAGCGTGGGGGAGTCGGGGGCCGGGGCCGGGGGGTTTGAGATGGTCAAAGAAACGCGGTTCTGTGCCGTGTGCAGCGACTATGCTTCTGGGTATCACTACGGGGTGTGGTCCTGTGAGGGATGCAAGGCCTTCTTCAAGAGGAGCATCCAGGGTAGGTTCTCTGTCTGCTTCATACAGGTGTGATCTGCAGCTGTTGTTCTCAAACTGTTTGTAATATATATATATATAAAAAAGGTAAAACCATATGAAAGAAGAGTACAACTTTGTAAATGGAGCACTGTGCCTAATAAAAAAACAAGTTTTGCTGTCAGCCAACAAATGAATATTTAATGTTGTTTATTCAGGCACATCTTGGAATTAAAAAACATCCACAATAGGGAAAACATAAGTTTGGATTTGATAGGATAGTGATTTTTATGCTTATTACTGACTAGGCTCATGGTAATAAAGTGAACCGCCTGTAACTTCTACAGAGACATCAATGGTTAAACTGCAGCTTTCGGGAAAGCAGAAAACAGGGGAAATGTCTGTCCTTAATTGAGACATTGTGAAACGGAGAGATACGTTTGTTCGTTTTTATAGATTTTTGGTTCTTGGTTTTTGTTTTTTTTGCAAGAACATTGTTTTGGAAGGATTCA